TCACCACAGTCACCCTCCATCACCACAGTCACCCTCCATCACCACAGTCACCCTCCATCACCACAGTCACCCTCCATCACCACAGTCACCCTCCATCACCACAGTCACCCTCCATCACCACAGTCACCCTCCATCACCACAGTCACCCTCCATCACCACAGACACCCTCCATCACCACATTCACCCACCATCAACACAGTCACCCTCCATCACCACAGTCACCCTCCATCACCACAGTCACCCTCCATCACCACAGTCACCCTCCATCACCACAGTCACCCTCCATCACCACAGTCACCCACCATCACCACATTCACCCACCATCACCACAGTCACCCTCCATCACCACAGTCACCCTCCATCACCACAGTCACCCTCCATCACCACAGTCACCCTCCATCCACCACAGTCACCCTCCATCACCACATTCACCCTCCATCACCACAGTCACCCTCCATCACCACAGTCACCCTCCATCACCACAGTCACCCTCCATCACCACAGTCACCCTCCATCACCACAGTCACCCTCCATCACCACAGTCACCCTCCATCACCACAGTCACCCTCCATCACCACAGTCACCCTCCATCACCACAGTCACCCTCCATCACCACAGTCACCCTCACCCACAGTCACCCATCACCACAGTCACCCTCCATCACCACAGTCAGTCACCCTCCATCACCACAGTCACCCTCCATCACCACAGTCACCCTCCATCACCACAGTCACCCTCCATCACCACAGTCACCCTCCATCACCACAGTCACCCTCCATCACCACAGTCATCACCACAGTCACCATCACCACAGTCACCCTCCATCACCACAGTCACCCTCCATCACCACAGTCACCCTCCATCACCACAGTCACCCTCCATCACCACAGTCACCCTCCATCACCACAGTCACCCTCCATCACCACAGTCACCCTCCATCACCACAGTCACCCTCCATCACCACAGTCACCCTCCATCACCACAGTCACCCTCCATCACCACAGTCACCCTCCATCACCACAGTCACCCTCCATCACCACAGTCACCCTCCATCACCACAGTCACCCTCCATCACCACAGTCACCCTCCATCACCACAGTCACCCTCCATCACCACAGTCACCCTCCATCACCACAGTCACCCTCCATCACCACAGTCACCCTCCATCACCACAGTCACCCTCCATCACCACAGTCACCCTCCATCACCACAGTCACCCTCCATCACCACAGTCACCCTCCATCACCACAGTCACCCTCCATCACCACAGTCACCCTCCATCACCACAGTCACCCTCCATCACCACAGTCACCCTACATCACCACAGTCACCCTCCATCACCACAGTCACCCCACACAACACGTCTCATCACCACAGTCACCCTCCATCACCACAGTCACCCTCCATCACCACAGTCACCCTCCATCACCACATCCCCTCACCCTCCATCACCACAGTCACCCTCCATCACCACAGTCACCCTCCATCACCACAGTCACCCTCCATCACCACAGTCACCACCATCACCACAGTCACCCTCCATCACCACAGACACCCTCCATCACCACAGTCACCCTCCATCACCACAGTCACCCTCCATCACCACAGTCACCCTCCATCACCACACAGTCACCACATCACACCATCACCAGTCACCCTCCATCACCACAGTCACCCTCCATCACCACAGTCACCCTCCATCACCACAGTCACCCTCCATCACCACAGTCACCCTCCATCACCACAGACACCCTCCATCACCACAGTCACACCTCCATCACCACAGTCACCCTCCATCACCACAGTCACCCTCCATCACCACAGTCACCCTCCATCACCACAGTCACCCTCATCACCACAGTCACCCTCCATCACCACAGTCACCCTCCATCACCACAGACACCCTCCATCACCACAGTCACCCTCCATCACCACAGTCACCCTCCATCACCACAGACACCCTCCATCACCACAGTCACCCTCCATCACCACAGTCACCCTCCATCACCACACCCTCCATCACCACAGACCCACTCTCCCCACAGACATCACCCACACACCTCACACCTCACCCTCCATCATCACCACAGTCACCATCCATCACCACAGTCACCATCACCACAGACACCTCACCACAGTCCATCACCACAGTCACACCACCACCACCATCACCACAGTCACCCTCCATCACCACAGTTACCGTCCATCACCACAGTCACCCTCCATCACCACAGTCACCCTCCATCACCACAGTCACCCTCCATCACCACAGACACCCTCCATCACCACAGTCACCCTCCATCACCACAGTCACCATCACCACAGTCACCCTCCTCACCACAGTCACCCTCCATCACCACAGTCACCCTCCATCACCACAGACACCACAGTCACCCTCCATCACCACATTCACCCTCCATCACCACAGACACTCTCCATCACCACAGTCACCCTCCATCACCACAGACACCCACCATCACCACAGTCACCCTCCATCACCACAGTCACCCTCCATCACCACAGTCACCCACCATCACCACAGTCACCATCACCACAGTCACCCTCCATCACCACAGTCACCCTCCATCACCACAGTCACCCTCCATCACCACAGTCACCCTCCATCACCACAGTCACCCACCATCACCACAGTCACCATCACCACAGTCACCCTCCATCACCACAGTCACCATCACCACAGTCACCCTCCATCACCACAGTCACCCTCCATCACCACAGTCACCCTCCATCACCACAGTCACCCTCCATCACCACAGTCACCCTCCATCACCATAGTCACCCTCCATCCACCACAGACACCCTCCATCACCACATTCCCCCACCATCAACACAGTCACCCTCCATCACCACAGTCACCCTCCATCACCACAGTCACCCTCCATCACCACAGTCACCCTCCATCACCATAGTCACCCTCCATCACCACAGACACCCTCCATCACCACATTCACCCACCATCAACACAGTCACCCTCCATCACCATAGTCACCCTCCATCACCACAGTCACCCTCCATCACCACAGACACCCTCCATCACCACAGTCACCCTCCATCACCACAGTCACCATCACCACAGTCACCCTCCATCACCACAGTCACCCTCCATCACCACAGTCACCCTCCATCACCACAGTCACCCTCCATCACCATAGTCACCCACCACATCACCACATTCACCCAGTCACCATCACACCACAGTCACCCTCCATCACCACAGTCACCCTCCATCACCATAGTCACCCACCATCACCACATTCACCCACCATCACCACAGTCACCCTCCATCACCACAGTCACCCTCCATCACCAAAGCCACCCCCCATCACCACAATCACTCTCCATCACCACAGTCACCCTCCATCACCACAGTCACCCTCCATCACCACAGTCACCCTCCATCACCAAAGACACCCTCCATCACCACAGTCACCCTCCATCACCACAGTCACCCTCCATCACCACAGTCACCCTCCATCACCAAAGACACTCTCCATCACCACAGTCACCCTCCATCACCACAGTCACCCTCCATCACCACAGTCACCCTCCATCACCACAGACACCCTCCATCACCACAGTCACCCTCCATCACCACAGTCACCCTCCATCACCACAGTCACCCTCCATCACCACAGTCACCCTCCATCACCACAGTCACCCTCCATCACCACAGACACCCTCCATCATCACAGTCACCCTCCATCACCACAGTCACCATCACCACAGTCACCCTCCATCACCACAGTCACCCTCCATCACCACAGTCACCCTCCATCATCACAGTCACCCTCCATCACCACAGTCACCCTCCATCACTACTGCAAAACTTATAATAAACGTATTTCATCTCCAAATACAGTCCAATGTGTCCAAATACTGCCAATTACTACGTCATAGGTTATGTCTTTATTTGATTATAAACCAGTAGTCTATACCAAGCCCGTCTTGGTGTTCCCAGCCGGTAATGTTTGTACGTGTCTCCTCCTGCCTGGAGAACGTAACTTTACTGTTCTTCCTGCATCAAGAAATATAACAAAAAACACGTTTTTACCGTTATTGTCCTCCAAAATCTTTCAAGCAGATGTGGAGAGTTGTGTGTGTGTGTGTGTGTGTGTGTGTGTGTGTGTGTGTGTGTGTGTGTGTGTGTGTGTGTGTGTGTGTGTGTGTGTGTGTGTGTGTGTGTGTGGCGGCGTCGTGCTGCACCAACACTGTTGAGGCTCACACTCCTGCTCACTCTTGGTGATGTGCCTCCACACCTGAAGGTCCTCGTCATTGTGTCCGCTAGTTCTCAGTGGTAGGGTTGGGGAGTGGGTCTGGGGACACACTTACCAGGGTTGGGGAGTGGGTCTGGGGACACACTTACCAGTGTTGGGGAGTGGGTCTGGGGACACACTTACCAGTGTTGGGGAGTGGGTCTTGGGACACACTTACCAGTGTTAGGGAGTGGGTCTGGGGACACACACTTACCAGTGTTGGGGAGTGGGTCTGGGGACACACTTACCAGTGTTGGGGAGTGGGTCTGGGGACACACTTACCAGTGTTGGGGAGTGGGTCTGGGGACACACTTACCAGTGTTGGGGAGTGGGTCTGGGGACACACTTACCAGTGTTGGGGAGTGGGTCTGGGGACACACTTACCAGTGTTGGGGAGTGGGTCTGGGGACACACTTACCAGTGTTGGGGAGTGGGTCTGGGGACACACTTACCAGTGTTAGGGAGTGGGTCTGGGGACACACACTTACCAGTGTTGGGGAGTGGGTCTGGGGACACACTTACCAGTGTTGGGGAGTGGGTCTGGGGACACACTTACCAGTGTTGGGGAGTGGGTCTGGGGACACTTACCAGTGTTGGGGAGTGGGTCTGGGGACACACTTACCAGTGTTGGGGAGTGGGTCTGGGGACACACTTACCAGTGTTGGGGAGTGGGTCTGGGGACACACTTACCAGTGTTGGGGAGTGGGTCTGTGAACACACACTTACCCAAGACGGTGAGTCTAAGTGTCTTGCGAGCCATGTCCTGGTCAGAGATGCCGTAGTAGGTAAGTGTCTCATTGAAGTCCGGGTTGGAGGTCTTGGGCACCGTACGAGTTCTGAGCTTGTTGGACTGCCAGACGCACGACGAGCGCCGCCACGTGACAACACAGGGAGAGAATTAGTGGTTTGTAGTTCATCGCGGAGAACAGATAGCTTAGATAGGTAGTTAAAGGCATGCGATATCTATCTAACTATATGGGAAATAATTTCATTAACTATTAACCTCAGAAGAGCAACTGCAGTTAGTGAAGGGAATTGGCTCTCGTTTACAAAGTGTGGAACTTGAAACACTCGAGGTAATATAGTCTAAGATTACTGTAAGTGCTGAGTAACAGTGCCGTCTATAGCACGCCTTCGTAATTGGCCCAGTTGAGTGAGTGTCCCTTGTGAGTGTCTCGGGAGGAGTGAGTGTCCCTTGTGAGTGTCTCGGGAGGAGTGAGTGTCCCTTGTGTGTCTTGGGAGGAGTGAGTGTCCCTTGTGAGTGTCTCGGGAGGAGTGAGTGTCCCTTGTGAGTGTCTCGGGAGGAGTGAGTGTCCCTTGTGAGTGTCTCGGGAGGAGTGAGTGCCCCCTTGTGAGTGTCTCGGGAGGAGTGAGTGCCCCCTTGTGAGTGTCTCGGGAGGAGTGAGTGCCCCCTTGTGAGGGTCTCGGGAGGAGTGAGTGCCCCCTTGTGAGTGTCTCGGGAGGAGTGAGTGCCCCTTGTGAGTGTCTCGGGAGGAGTGAGTGTCCCTTGTGAGTGTCTCGGGAGGAGTGAGTGTCCCTTGTGAGTGTCTCGGGAGGAGTGAGTGCCCCTTGTGAGTGTCTCGGGAGGAGTGAGTGCCCCTTGTGAGTGTCTCGGGAGGAGTGAGTGTCCCTTGTGAGTGTCTCGGGAGGAGTGAGTGTCCCTTGTGAGGCCAGATTCACGAAGGTACTTACGAAGGTTTTTCTTCTTAGCTACGAATGTTTTCCTTCTTAGCGCCTTCGTGGCGGCTACGTCGGTATTCAGGTAGCTACACTAAGTGAAAAAACCTTCGTAAGTTTGGTCCGGGATCTAAGTGTGCTGTTGACCACTCGTAGCTTTACGTAAACTGGATATAACTCAATTTTTCTCTACTACATAACACTGGGATCGATTTTAATATAACAAAACAAAATTAGTTGGCGAATCTCGTGAAGAGGAGTCCTTCGTGTTAGTTATACAAGCATTCTCTGCTTGAAACTTGAAGTAAATATGTCATTTATGATATTAGAATTAGTTTTATAATAGCAAGATATTATACCCGTAGTTATTAAGTAAATAAACACTGGTGAACATGAAATATGAGAGAAAGTGATGAGTCCTGCCTGATGGGATCATTTACTATCACCAAATGCCCCTGTTCACCAAGTAGTAAGGGTGTACCTTAACTATACATACCCATTTCTAATTTATTTAGTTTGGTTTTATTTTGAAATTAAATCTGGGTGAGACATAAAATAAAAATATGCTGCACAAATGATGTTAGGTAAGGAGAAGGGTAAAAATGTCAAAAACTTTATTCATTGAATACTTAAAGCTATAATTATGACTATATGGACTATTAAAAAAGAGAGAGGGAAGTAGGGGTCCAAGACCTCTTCCTGTTACACAATTTGGGTGTGGAACAAGTAATTATCAAAAGAAGGCACCATGCCGGGAAGGCTATGTAGCAGTAAGGCAGTGAGGTGAGGCAGCTACTTATTTGAGAAATGCTTATTTTATTTACCTTATAAGCTGAGGCAGCTTATTTTATTTGAGGAATACTCAGCTGATTCCTCTACATTTAGCATGGAACAAATTTGTGTCCAAGACCTCTTCCTGTTACACAATTTGGCTGTGTGTAACCAAACTAGAAGTGCTCTACAAATCAAGGGACCCAGAATGTGGAATGACCTCCCGAATCATGTCAAAGGCTGTACCTCTCTCAACCAGTTTAAGAGTAAAACCAAGTACTTCCTAATTAACTCCATGTAACCTACCTTACCCCCTAAATGTCAACCCATGTCTTGCTATTTTTTAAACAATGCTGTTTGTTCACCAACGTGTACAATTGCTGATTTCTGCTATGTTACCCCCCCCCCCCTTTTTTTATTTTTTATTCCTTCTTTCAACACAATTTATACCTAATCCCGATTACTATTAAGTTTTAGTCTAAGTGTTTTTTCCCCCCACACCTTGCCCGAAATGCTATGATTATTAGTGGCTTTAGGTATTGTATGTACTAGCTCTGTCTATAAATCCAACATTATGTTTGTAAATCAACTGTATGTACTTTTCCTGAATACAATTTATTTATTATTATTTATTCATTAATCAGTAAGTAATTATTAAAAGAAGGCACCAAGCTGGGAAGGCTATGTAGCACCATTGTGTGTAACAATAAACCAATTTTTTTTAACAAATAATGCACTTGTATGGTAAAACAAATCCTGTCAGCTGTAAAAATATTGATGCAGTTATTTAAATAAAAAAATATAATGAAAAAAATATTACTGGTTTATTTTTATCCTATCTTTTTGTACTGTACAGTATATCCAAGGAAGTGAAAAATTGAGACATAATGCACAATTTGGTGAATGATTAAAAAATGATTAGCATGGATTAGCAGTTCAAAAGAAATATAACTAATACATATCAACATGAGATCTTTATGATCCATGGTTAACATGATTTAATAAGGATAATACAGTAATGATCCATTGTAATAATACAAACTATAATTTAATATCTTTATTACTGATTTTTTTATTAAGAAGCTTAGGTATACACAGCAATGTGCTGCTACCCTATTCTATATGGAATATTACACAGTGTAGATAAAAAACTAGCTATAAGTTTATCTAATACTCCCATCTCACAGAATGGTTAATCATACATGGAATCAAGGGAGAAAATACCAGCCTCAATACAAAAAACAAATCAACTCTGACTAAACAACAACTTCACGATTTTCACAAGAGGTAAGCACTGAATCATGGAAACATTATATTATAATTACTCTTACCAGTTTCTACAAGACTCCTCTCAAACAATGTATTTTTTAACATGTTTAGGTATACACAGCAATGTGCTGCTTCCCTATTCTGTATGAAGGACCACACAGTGTAGATCAAAAACCAGCTACAAGCTCATCCAACATCCTCACCTCACAGGATGGCCAGTCATACATGGAATCAGGAGAGAACAAAATACTTAAGGCTGATCTATTAGCCTCCACTGGCAAAATCTGGGTGCAGCACAAGAATATCTTCCAATATTCCTAAGTGTATGAAGTAATTACAGAGCTCAAAGTACCTCATACCATTTGGTATGAAGTCACTGATAACAGGGCAATCACAGATATAGTGTTGGAGAGTATGTTCTCTCAAGTAGGACTAAAAACAGATGTTTTTCCACCAAGTGGGTTATAAACCCATGGAACAGCCTACCCGCTGAAGTGGTAAATCCAAATTTCAGCTAAACAATATCAAAAGACAATTGGCGATCCCTTTAACAAGCCGCCGGCTTTCTGTCCTCGTCGAGGCCACTAGATAGTTAGTGGCCTTTGGTTAAATTCAGTAAATATATACAATAATTGTCAGCGCATCTTCCGAGCAACAAGGACAGCTACACAGTATCTCTTTAATTACGTAGGTAAACAACAAATATAACATATTTGTTTACTACAATGTCGGTGCTGGCTGTAGAAGTTGAAAAAACATTGTTTTACTTCGAAATATACTAATTTTATAAGAAAATTAGACGTAAATAGGGGCAGTAGAGCTCCGATAAGCCAGCGCTAAATCTTCAATATGAAGAATGTTGCTGCTCTCTGATTGGCCAAACGAAACACAGTAGTGACCTCTATCGGCACGCAGGTGAACCAGACCCAAGTTTACCCAATCACTCTTATCTTCTTAGCGGGCAAGTGGACCTACGTACGAAGAAATGAATTGCACCTAAGCATCTTCTTAGGGCGGCTACTTAGGAACCTTCGTAGCAAACCTACTTACAGGTGAAGAAATACATGGAGCTTCAACCAGGAATCAAACTCGGGGCCCTTAGGACTATGATCCCAGACCACTGTCCACTCGGCTGCGAGTGAATGTGTGTAGGTCCGCGGGGGTTGAGCTCTGGCTCTTTGGTCCCGCCTCTCAACCGTCAATCAACAGGAGTACAGGTTCCTGAGCCTATTGGGCTCTATCATATCTACACTTGAAACTGTGTATGGAGTCAGCCTCCACCACATTGCTTCCTAATGCATTCCATTTGTCAACCACTCTGACACTAAAAAAGTTCTTTCTAATATCTCTGTAGCTCATTTGGGCACTCAGTTTCCACCTGTGTCCCCTAGTGCGTGTGCCCCTTGTGTTAAATAGCCTATCTTTATCAACCCTGTCGATTCCCTTGAGAATCTTGAATGAGGTGATCATGTCCCCCCTAACTCTTCTGTCTTCCAGCGAAGTGAGGTTCAATTCCCGTAGTCTCTCCTCGTAGCTCATACCTCTCAGCTCGGGTACTAGTCTGGTGGCAAACTTTTGAACCTTTTCCAGTTTAGTCTTATGCTTGACTAGATATGGACTCCATGCTGGAGCCGCATACTCTAGGATTGGTCTGACATATGTGGTATATAATGTTCTGAAAGATTCCCTACACAAGTTTCTAAAGGCCGTTCTTATGTTAGCATACCTGGCATATGCTGCTGATGTTATTCTCTTGATATGAGCTTCAGGGGACAGGTCTGGCGTGATATCAACCCCCAGGTCTTTCTCTCTCTCGGACTCTTAAAGTATTTCATCTCCCAAGTGATACCTTGTATCTGGTCTCCAGCTTCCTACTCCTATCTTCATTACATTACATTTGCTTGGGTTAAACTCTAACATCCATTTGTTCGACCATTCCTGCAGCTTGTCCAGGTCTTCTTGTAGCCTCAAGCTGTCCTCCTCTGTCTTAATCCTTCTCATAATTTTGGCGTCGTCAGCAAACATTGAGAGGAATGAGTCTATACCCTCTGGGAGATCATTTACGTATATCAGAAACAGGATAGGTCCAAGCACAGAGCCCTGTGGGACTCCACTGGTGACTTCCCGCCATTCTGAGGTCTCACCCCTCACTATAACTCTCTTCTTCCTATTGCTTATCCACTGGAGCGCCCTACCAGTTACTCCTGCCTGTTTCTCCAGCTTATGCATCAACCTTTTATGGGGTACTGTGTCAAAGGCTTTCCGACAGTCCAAAAAAATGCAGTCCGCCCATCCTTCTCTTTCTTGCTTAATCTTTGTCACCTGATCATAGAATTCTATCAAGCCTGTAAGGCAAGATTTACCCTACCTGAACCCATGTTGATGGGTTGTCACGAAGTCTCTTCTCTCCAGATGTGTTACTAGGTTTTTTCTCACAATCTTCTCCATCACCTTGCATGGTATACAAGTTAAGGACACTGGCCTGTAGTTCAGTGCCTCTTGTCTGTCACCCTTTTTAAATATTGGTACTACATTAGCAGTCTTCCATACTTCTGGTAAGTCTCCCGTTTCCAGTGACCTACTATACACTATGGAGAGTGGCAAGCTAAGTGCTCCTGCACACTCTTTCAATACCCATGGTGAGATTTCATCCGGCCCAACAGCTTTTCTCACATCCAGCTCCAGTAGGTGCTTCTTGACCTCATCTCTTGTAATTTCGAACCTTTCCAAGGTCACCTGGTTTGCTGCCACCTCTCCTAGCACCGTGACTTCTCCCTGTTCTATTGTAAAGACCTCCTGGAACCTTTTGTTGAGTTCTTCACACACCTCTTTGTCATTCTCTGTGTACCTGTCCTCGCCCACCCTAAGTTTCATCACCTGTTCCTTCACTGTTGTCTTCCTCCTGATGTGACTGTGTAGTA